CATTCTACTTGGCCGATTGACGAAATTCAAATTGCATTCTTCATGTCTCGAAAGCGCGACTTAGGATATATATCAGATTTATATATAGCACTATTCTAACATAGGTATTTTGACACAAAACCGGACCGGTGAAATAACATACCAAATTTTTTCCATATTTCGATTCTACGACTCAAATTATGCCTAAATATTAAATTTTGTAAAATTTGGTGCGAAATTTACGTGAGAAATTCACAAATTTATGTTGGCGCTTTTTTCCCAGTTTGCGCCTCTTTTTTTTTTTTTTTTCAGTTTTTTTTAGTTCACTTGGCGAACTTTTTAATACATGGCAACCTATTTTCTTTTCCCTTTTTTACATCGTACGTGAGCGAAAAAGAGTCGCAATCGTTCCTTTTTTCAAATAATGTTCTATATTGTATTTTTAATTATAATTGTTATTATTTTCAGTAATTTTTTTTTTTCTTTTTCGAAATTCATTTTAATTGTTTAAGTTGCATGGTTTCTTTCAAATAACTGTTTTAAAAATGTCTATTTACCCACTCGAATTGTGTAGTTTAAATAAAAGGTGCATCTTTTATTTTTTTAAAATAGTTTTCTTTATAATTTATTTTTTGTCATAGTTATTATTTTAAGCAATTTTTAAATTTTTAGGCTTTTATTTTAATTGTTTGAGTTGCATTGTCTCTTCAGATAATTGTTTTGAAATTTTCTATTTATTCATTCGAACTGACCATTTTAAATGCATTTATTATTATAAATTTTCCAGAATTTGATTTTATTTATTTCAATTGGTTACTTTCGGAAGAATACTTTGTAGCCCAGACTATGATGCATTTAAAAGCTGCATATATAAAACATTAACACGCCTTTCAATGTTCCGTTCAGAAAAGAAATATAAATAAGAGAGATGTATAACTGACAATTTAATTTAGGATGACTTGCATACAGTGCTTTACAGCTTTATCATTGTGCTTATTGCTTTACACAATTTTATCATCCTACATTTAGTTTCTTAAAATGTTATTCATATTTTAGTCAATTTTTAAAAAAATACTAAATTTTTTCTTTTCGAAACATCTTGGTATTTCTTACATTCATTTTAAATAAAGTTATCGCCTTCCATTTCATAAAGCCCACAAACGAACGAGCGGTAAAGTCGCTAAATACTGGTAATTCGCTCCGGGGTTCGAATCCCGGCGAAAAGGCCGGTTGCATGGACGATTTCGTGGTTTTTCTCATGTGTAACGTGTATGCCAGCTGGTTTCCCTTAGGAAGTTCTTCACGAAGGCATCCCTCGTTTTAGGCAGATAGCCCTGTTTTGCCGTAACTTAATAATCGAATTCAAACCATTTCATCAGCACTTGGTCTGAGCCTTTATCAGTCTTTAGAGGCTAAGCATTTTAGGGCATGAGATGAAAGGAAAGACTGGTTTCATCAAGAAGGAAAACGTCTTTAGGTGACATCCACATATATCATTGGATAAATTCCTGAATCTTCAAATAATTCAGAATAATCCACAGATTGCAAAACAGTATACTCTAATTCTGTTAATAATTTAAGAATGCTGACTTTTTTTCCCACATTTCATTACGTTTTCCCTCAACACGGTGCTACATTCAGGATCGCATTGTTGCTCCTATTACTTTCAATTTAAAAACGATCGTTGTTTTTCCCATTTTGAAAAAACGTTTGCTTCTGAAGAATAAGAGGCTTTACGCAAGTTGCGATAACGAATCCACCTCTGAAACAGATGCTGCTCCTTAATCACACTGCGACTGTTCTTTTGCAGAGGTAGTCTTCTGACCAATATGCTGAAAAAGCAGAGGTCTGCGACCACCGAGGCAAGCGGCAGAACGATCGCTGCGCTCCGTAAAAAAGTGAAAAAATTTCCTTTCCTCTTGGTGATTATCAATTAAATTACTTTGAAAAATTTTTTTTTTCTCTACAACACCTATATCATTCCAATGAATTTCGGCTCCGATGTTGACGAGAATAAAACAGCGGACAATGTAAGGATATACTCCAAAAGCCTGGAATTTTAAGAAAAGTACTTTTCTTTCATCTAAACTAAATAAAATTTCTATAAATAAGTGCCTTTAAATCAATAAATCTTAATTTTTCATCAGCTTTTAAAGCATTAAAAAATACTTGAAATTGCCATTGCTTGTGGCTTCCTTTGTGTATCAACTCCAAACAGACGCCAACGTTATCAGTTCACGTCTGTCAACACTTACAAAGCCCTTAAGGAATCTCGAGAGAGGGAAAATTTGGGCATCGCGCTATTTCCCTCTCGGATCTTCTGTATTCTCTTTTCTTTTTAGATCGCTTGAATATAGTTTTGCCTTTAAATAATATTATACCTCACCGATTTTTTCTCATACTGTTCTTTGCTATTTGTTAAATGTCCATATGTAAGGGATGGTTTATTCTTCACCGCCTTAAATGAATTTTTAGAACTATGAGCTTATATAAATAACAGTGTGCCTCATTGTGTTATACTAACATTAATTAACTAGTAATATATTATGATAGTAAAATAATTAATCTTGTAATAAATTATGATAGTTAAATTAATAAATACTGTTTAATTTGTGTTTTTAATACATATACTCAGTAATTTACACAATATATATATATATTTTGGGGGGGGGTATGTGTGGGGTTTTTTTTGTTGTTGTTGTTTTGTTTTGGTTTGTTTTGTTTTGTTCTATGTTGTTAGTCTGCTGCTGTTTTTTGAAAAATGTATGAAAATGTTGAAAATGAAAGTAGCATAAGTTACTTTGGTTAAATTAATATATACTTTTGTTTGATGACTTTGTTGATATCTCAGGATGCAAGCATACATATTACTTTATATTCCATGCTAAATACCTTGATACGAAGCATTTTAACACCGTCAATATTTGTTTTTTCCCCAGTAACACATCTATTCACCATTACCAAACACACTCACTACACACACACACACACACACACACACACACACACACACACATCTGTGAGACACTATTTATTGTAAATGAAGACAGCTTCTTCTCCTTTTAACTACACTCATGGACACAATCGTATTTTAGGATATTTTCTACTTCTTTTCCTTTTCTTTCTATAGGCCCTTTTTTTTTTACCTCTATTATTTTTGGGCCATTTATTTTAAATTTTATTTTGTCCCATCTTTTCTTCCTGGCCTTTTGAACTTGTACAAGATGTACGAAGTTCCTTTTTACTCTCCTCAAATACGAAATTGCCCCTCTTTCTATATACCTTTCCTTCGCACCTATACTTGATTTTTCGCCCATCGGTGCAGAAAGACTTAGCGGGTGCAAACAAGACATCTGTCTACTTTGTCTGTCTGTCTCAAGGAGGTTAGAATAGAAGGAGGGAGGGTTCGCAGTTTCCTCCACTATCAGGGAATGAAACTTCACCGAACAAGAGGCGTCCATATTTGTAACTTCAAAATATTGCATTACGGCAGTGAAACGTACGTGTTTTTAAGCTGTTCCGTGCATGTATTTTCCACTAAAAATATGTAAAATTTATAATGAAATGCTTCGCTATTGTTAGTTTTTTGTTTTAAAGTTATAAAGATGATATCCGTAATTTACTACGTACAGAACATCATTAAGAAATACTTCGAAATCTAAATGCATGTGCATACCATTAAAGCCTTTAAAAATAATGTTTCTGCATATTTCAAGAATTTGTTTAGGTTTTATTAGCAACCTGTTGGGTGTACTTTCCAATTTTTCCTTTAAGAAGTGATATTTCTGATTTATTCACAATATTGTAATTTATTAAAGAATCATTTAAAATAATTTTAACCTGAAATTAATAGCAGATAATTTTCTAAAAAAATAGTCACAAGTTGCATTTTTTTAAATGAAAGTTTAAATAGCTTCTTTTCACAACCAACAACCTTATAACAACAAAAAAATAAATATTAATAAAATAAAACAGATTTATGTGAATTCAGGGATTTCAGTTTATGCGCGTTTCATATTTATGAATCTCAAAGAAATTGCCTTTAATTAAGCTGAATTACAGAAATATACCTATACCTATATTTTTGGATACATCTTTCCCACATGTTCAGTTGTGTAAATATTTTACTTACTTTTATCGCTATACTTCCCCCAAATTTGTAAATTTATGCAAAAAACATTTTTTTAACAACAGATAAGTTAGTTTATCTTGATCAAATGCACAAATTGTATTCCCAACAGTTCACAAAACTTAAAAATTAATAATAATTAATACATAAAGAAAAGCATTACTTTGTTTAACACCTTTACAATTCATAAAAATAGTAAGAATTGGTGTCTTACTTTTCATGAAAATTATCAAACGAATTACCTAAAACGTTCAAATTATACAGTTTAAATTCTAGCATACATCATTGTATGTCAAGGACAAAGATGCCAGCTATAAACAGAAACATTAAAATGTATTTAACATATTTTGATTATTAAGTCCTTTTTTCACATCTGGAAAGAAAACAACATGACATTGTGATATTTTTTACCTAACTTTATCAAATTACATTAAAAAAAAAAAAAAAAAGAAAATCAATATTTACGCGGGAAAAGTAATCTCAGGAATCTTTTTCGAAAATCTGTTTGTGCATTCATATACAACACAAGCTGACATGCTTCGAAAAGAAAAGAAGAAAAAATATTGTAATTACGGACTTCCTTGCACAAGTCACAGCGATAACAATAACATGGCCGCGAAGCTTCACCTTTTGAGTTGAACCTTCCCTCCTTCTATTCTAACCTCCTTGGTCTGTCTGTCTGTAATATGCTGAAAAAGAATTGCTTTCTCTAAATATATTTTTCAGTCCTATATAAATTGCTATCATATTTGTCACATACGTTTCAACCTGCTATTGTTATCAGAGCTTTATTGAAATTTACTTGATATACTATGGTATGAAGATTTGAACTTCTTCCTAAGGCTACACACGTCACTCCACACGTCAGTACTATCGTCTGCTCGCGGAAGTCAATTTTGCTGTCGGAAGTGAAGGGAATTTAATTTCTGCGTATGCTGTGGTACGGGGTGTTGTTTTGAAAGGATGGCGGCTGTTGCATGTTTACAGCTAAATTTGAATGCTATTTTAAAAAAAGTGTCCTCTGAAAAGCTTTTAAATATGCTAAATTCCGTGAGTTCACCTTTATTTTTTTAAATTTTAATATAATTTTTAAATTGCGTTTTATCAGTAACTTTTCTTAGTTGGTTCGACAACCTTTTAGAAATAATTGTTTTAAAAAATCTAAAAATTGAATTCAGTTATTTTTAAAGTTCTGCTGTCTTATTTTTTGACAAGTTTTATATTAATTCATTCATTTTTTGCATAACTTTGTTCTGTAAATTTGGGAATTTAGTATTCATAATTATGTCAAATATTTATTCGACAATATATTTAGTTTTATTTCCGTGAATTAGTTTTTTTATTTCATTTTATTTCTGTCCGTAAATATGAATCGGTTATTCTGATTTTATAATTATTTCAATTGTATTCATTTATTTTGATTTTATATTTTATCGGAAAATCTGTCGCTCTAAAGAATGGTACAGTATCTCAAGATAGGTTCAGAATTGATTTTATATACAACAAAATAATTTTTGTAAGAAATACGAAGCTTGTTTGTTCAGTAGATGAAGTACTGTAATGAAATATGCCTTGATCATCTTTTTCATCCCTTTTCAAGAATGAAATATGCATGTACATATAATTAATAAAGCTATAAAAATAATTAAATTTCACATTTTATTGTGCATGGCTGTAAAATATAATGCACAGTAGAATGCGTACATAAAATTAATGAAATGTAGTTGAAATATATATTTTTGTTACTTAAAACATGGAACTTATTTGTTGAATTATTTAGTTACTTAAAACATGGAATCTATTTGGTCTAGATTTCTGTACATTAAGGTTACTATTGGCCATCTTCCAGATTCCTGTTTAGCAATATTTATTGCCAAATCAACTGTTACCATATACCTCATTCTTAATTATCTGCATATCTTGCTTTCTTTCATGTAAATTAACACCCAATCTGTTTTCATGATAAATTCTTTCATGTAAATTGATTTAGTATCTTCCCAGTCCATATGTATTCATTTACAAAATGAAGTGTGTATCATTTAACTTATATCATTATCATTTAACTAACCTGGCTCTTTCTTGATTTTTTACTTATTTTTTGTTTGTTTTGCATGCTAAAGATATTTGCATATAGGAAATATTCTTTTGGTTTCATATTTTAGGTGCCCACTAGCAGCCGAGTAGTAAAGTCGCTGAACATTGGTAGTTCAGTTTGAGGTTCGAATCCCGCAAACAGACTGGCTACATGAATGTTTTCGTGATTTTTCTCATGTGTATCATGTATACGAACCAGTTTCCCTTAGAAAGTCCTCAACGAATGCATCCTTACTCTTAGGCGGATAGCCCTTGAGGCCTTGCCATAATCACATACACACACTCTCTCGTATTTCAAGCATGTTGCTTTCTACACATAGCACATTTTTTGCATATATAATTATTACCTTTAAATTTCATTTACAAAATTTTGAACATTTTTGCATACATAATTTTTTTAAAGACATCTAGTGTGTATTGCACACATCCATATATAGTAAATTCATAATATAATGAAAATAAATAAGAAAAAGTTGTATCAAGCAAATTACACATTCAAAAGTTATGTCTTGTGCAGTGTTAACAGATAAATCTAAATCAATGTTTGGCATATTAGCATTTTGTGTTTTAAGATGATTTTAATAAGATTGAAGTACAATTTTCTTTGATGTTTAAAACAAACACTTGTGTGTTTCTCTCTATGATGGCAATATGTTCAAGATTATTGCCTTTTTTCCCTTTAAATATTCCACTGAAGGCATTTAAATATTTGAAAGGGTTAGATTAGACTGAAGGGTACCCTGGTAAACGTATATTTTAAGGAACCCTTTGGCGATTTTTGGCGGTACATGGATACCATGTTTGCGTAATTCTTTGACTTATTTTGGCCTGCCTACTCAAGCCAAAAGAACGAGTCAAAGAGTCAATTTTCACTTTAAAAAAAATCTTCAAATTGCACAGAAATGGCATTGTGCACTACCTTGACTTTATCCATGTATACATCGACCTATTTTCACTTTAAAAACATCAGAGAATTGCACAAACTATGCTTTACGAACTCCCTTGAGTTTGTTTATGTACACATCGATATATTTTCACTTAAAAAGTCAAAGGAGCACCCAATTCTTCACTAGAAGCAAACAAAAAATACATCATCTCAATAAACTACATTTTAAACCAAACAATAAAATAACACAAAAAGGAAAACCTGTTATGTATTTTAGCACTACACAAGGCAAATATCTCCTTACCTTATTTAGAAATTCGTTCGTCTTCAGTCTATGGCACACAAAATTCCATAGCAGCATCCAAAAACTTTCTAAAATTATCTGAACTACAATCTGTATATCGGTGTCGCCACAGAAATTCACAAAAATAAGAGCCAAAAATATACTATGTTGTTCCAGACTATGGCTACTAAGTAAACTGTCATTTACACACCAGTCAATTAATGCACTTTTTCCCTTTCATTCCAAATTGTGCAGAAATATCAAACTAATCCTACTACATTCAGCCATTGTACCATCTAAGCAATGCACTTCCTAAGCAACACACACTACAAAAGCCCTTGCAAAACATCCCATGATTCAAAATTTCCCAGAATAATGCAAACGATTACGTCATTATAGGATTTCCATAACATAAACTACTCAGGTTATCTTTAATGATAGCCCACCAGCGGCCGAGCGGTAAAGACGCTGAACACTGGTAGTTCGGTCTGAGGTTCGAATCCTGCGAATGGGCTGGCTGCATGGGCGTTTTCGTGGTTTTCCCCATGTGTAACGTGTATACGAGCCAGTTTCCCTTAGAAAGTCCTCCACGAAAGGCATCCCTACCTTTAGGCAGATAGCCCTCGTGTGCTTTGCCATAATTAAATACACCACATCACCTTTAATGATACAACTTGGCGATGAATGAAACAACAACTTGGCGATAAATGAAACAACAACTTCGCGATAATACAAGGGGTACCTTAAAGTCAACTCTAAATGGTACCCCTTGTATTATCGCGAAGTTGTTGTTTCATTTATGCTAACCTGAGTATTTGAATGTTCCGTAAATACACTTTTACCTAGAATTGGGTGTTCCTTTGACTTTTTAAGTGAAAATATATCAATGTATACATGGACAAAGTCGAGGAAATGCGCAATGCCTAATTTGTGCAATTCTGTGATATTTTTTAAGTGAAAATAGGCCATTGTGTACATGGATACCAAGTTTGTGCAATTCTTTGAATTGTTATTTTGTCTTTGTGTAGCGGTGATTTTTGGTGCTAAAATCTCCGCTATACAAAGCTAAAATAGCAACAAACTCGGTACCACCAAAAATCGTCAATATTTCCCAAGGGGTATCCATAAATATACTTTTACGTTTAAAAGTTGTTCACATAACATATACAAAGTTAATTTCTTTTAACGCTTTGAGTGGAATAGCATATTATATCTGCTAAGGAGCTGTATTTAAGTAGCATTTATTAACTAGATTTAAATAGTTGCTTATTTTATTTTTTCATAACCCACCATTCGTTAAGATTATTATTACTACATGATAAATTACTGGGACTTAATATATTGTACAATTTCATTTAAATATCGAATGATTCAAATATAAACCAAAAGCTATGAGATCTCATCTGCATAATGGGTGGCTGATCTCTAAAGAAAACTACAATTTCTAGCAAAAATGAAAAGGTATTGAAGCCAGGATTCCGTGTGTTTCAGTTTAAATAAGGAATAAGTGTATTATCTATTTCATTGCAATAAAAGCTTTTGCGATGATTTAACATTCCTTTTTTGCAGCTTATGATTTTATATTTTATTAAAATCTGCAGGGCTGAAAAATTTTTAATGAGAAGACTGCTATTTATTTTACAGCCTTTAAATTGTTTAATTCTAACATTTGAACTCAGTCATTCTCACAGGAAAATTAGCTGATGTAATCTTAGTCATGAACATGAAAATTGCTGATTGTTTTTTTAAAGTTGAGAAAATCATTTGTCATAACGTATTGGTCTAAACATAAGTTTTCTTACTTAAAATGCATTTCTGAAAGCTGTATGTATCATGCAGATACAGCCGAACATTAAAAAGTATCTTAATATAATGAACTACTTACTCCCCAATTTTTATGAAAAAATAATGTTCAATTAGTTTTATTTCAAGAGAAGATATTTGGAACGTGCAATTACTTTTTCTATGGGATTACATTGGTATATTGGACTTCTGTATCTGAGCCTATCTTTTTATTTCCCTGTAACTTTTAATGTCAGAAGCTGTCTTATATTATACCCTACGCAGTTTACTCTCAGTATATTAAATTAAAATGCAAGTCATTACCAAATTTGATGGTAATGCTAGTTGCTTGTGAAAATGCACAGTAATTATTTTATTATAAAATAATAATTATGAGATAAAGTAATTATTAATTTCATACTAATAAATAAATCACATGATAATTAGAAAATTTAATCAATGACTTACTTATTAGTACAAAATACTGTGTATTTAATTTTAATATTGTATTTTAAAATAAAAATCATTCTCATAATGGAAAAAGTATAAGGTATTTTTAATTTATTGCTGTCTGTTTTATAGATTGAGGGTAAAAAAGATCTTGTGCTTGATAAAGAGTTAATTTCTTCTTTGGAGTATATAGTAAATTTCAGTCAGTTAAAGGTAAGTGTAATTATGCTTTTGTAAAAATTATTCCATTATTTTTTTGAATGAGGCTTTGCTAATATTAATATAATTATGGAGTAAAACTATTTCTTAATAATAATATCAGCTCTAAAATAGTTATGCTAGTTCTCGATTGGACTTGGTGATGAAATGTCATCTAATCTAGAGGGATTAATAATACAGTACAGAGCCCAATATCTGGAATAATCTAAAATCCGGACCTTAAAGCCACCAACATGAAAAAAATTTGTTTATGCACTTATAATTTTTCCCCCTGTAAGAAAACATATGGAGAATCTCGATTCTTAATTTCACTTTGGCACTAAATAAAATACGCCATTACCAATTATTTTAGCATAAATTTGTCTGATCAGTAATTTGGCCCTGTAGCTGTATATCTGCTTGGCATACATCTCAAGCTGAAACATTCTACATACAAGTAGAAACATCGCAGATTTTACAACTACTAATATTTTATATCCCTGACACCAACCTGGGGAATCATTATTTACTATACTTTTCTTTCATCACCGTATGTTTATCAACACATGACAACTTATGCAGCGATGCCTAAACATTTTTTTTTATATTACTAATTCAATAACAGAGATTGTGGAAACCTTTTATGTTGACATTATGCTTGGCGATGATTACAGATTTAAGTTAAATGCGCTAAATATTGACAAGGAAAAATTAAAAAAAAATTTCTTTCCATATGCAAATTAATGTTACGCATAGGTGAAAAGAGTACATTTAGTGCTATTTGAATTAAGAATAAATGATTTTTTATTTACATAAACCCAGAACCGACGCCAGAGCTTGTATGGCCTTACCGAGTGGCAGAATTTAGGGAAGAAAATATTTTTGGAATTTAGAGAAGTACGGAGTAACAAAATTAAAAGATGATAAAATTTTTAGAATTTAGGGAAATCCTTAGTACCCAAAATAAAGGGGCAGCCAAAATTTAGAACATAGAGAGATGCTTAGTAGCAGAATTTAGGACCCACAGAGACTGCAACAGGGGGCAAAACATCAAGCGCCAGTCTTCAGTAAGCTTAAGTATATGTGGGGATTTATTTTTTCGGGACTCGGATAAGCCTTAATAATGTGCAAGAATTAGACATAAGTGTAATAAATAAATAAATTAATACAATTCAGACTTAATTGTCTCAGTGTGCCATAGAAGCAAGACAAAATTTAACGCAACAATCTTTCATTGCCAATCTCATGGTATGTAGCCAATAATGTATAGTGAATGCTGTTAAGCTAGGCTAAAATTTACTGATTCCAGAGAATTTCAGTTAATACAGCAGACTGCACTGTTCTTTAACTTTCTGATTTGATCCAGCTTCATATTTTATGCAGGCTGTTAAAATTACAGCAATTTTCTGAAAACTAAAGTTTGAATTATGTTGAAAAGATTGTCTAATTCTGGAGCTGCAGCAGGATTTACAAAGCAAAAGCATGTTTTGATGTCCATTAAATTAAAAGTGAAATTGCTGCAAAAAATGGATATAGGTATATCCATCTCAAAATTATGCAAGAAGCATAGCATTAGAAAGTCAACCGTATATAGCATAACAAAAAAAAGGAACTTAATGAATTTTTTGTGGATTCTGATGCCTCATTCGCAATAAATAACAGAAAAATTGTTCACTGTGCTAAAAGTGACAATCGTAACAAAGTGATGATTGAATGATCACAGAGATGCAGCGAGGTTGTACCATTTATGGGTCCAGAGCTAATGGCTCAAGCCAAAATATTTCATGAAGAAATTAACTAAAAAACTGAGTACACATATTCATTAGGTTGGCTAATCAAATTTTAAAATTGCCATGGTATAATGCAATTAAAAATTTCAGGTGAAAACCTTCAGCTGATACTGAGGTTGCTGAACTATTTGCACATGAATTCATTGATAACGTACATAATGAAATGTTATCTTCAGGACAAATTTACAACACTGATGAAACTGGTCTTTTCTGGTAACATGTACCATGAAATACCTTAACAACCCCTAAAAAAAGGCTGCAACTGGTGTCAAAGATTCCAAAGCTTGACTAACAATTTTAGCATGTGCAAATGCTGCAGGAACGCACAAGTGTAAACTTTTTGTAATCAGAAAAAATACACAACCTCGAGCATCTAAAGGAATAACGATTTTCCCGTTATATATCATGCAAATAAAAGAGCACGGATGATGCAAGCGTTAAGGTTTGAAAATCATTTCATACCTGAGGCTTAGCAAATTTGGGGGGGGGATGCCGCGGCTTGCAATTAATTGGAAGTTGATCTGTCAGCACTATTCCTATTTTCAGGGCAGATGTTTTCATTTTATTTGGCTTATAATTCCTTACTAAATGTAGTATTTCATCTCAATGTATTCCGTCTTTGATATGATTTAAATCAAAATCCTCTTCATTATAATTTGCTTCCTATAGTGAAGAAAGTGACACAGAGGTTATTGAAAATGAAAAAATTTCGATTGACAAATTAGTCGGTATTCTTGACACAGCAATTATAGATCTTGAACAGTGGAACTTTGTAACTGAACAAGAAATTATGTCTGTCTATAGAATTGAACAGAAAGTATTAGCACAAAAAATGAAGCAACTTAAACAACTTACATTGAAAGAAATGTTTAATAAAGTAAACAAATAAATATTAAGCTTTTTTTTTTTGTAAATTTTGATACCCTTTAGATCGTAATTGTTCTTTACTTCATAAAATATGGTTTCATATTTTTAATTTTATAATTTCTGCATGCCATCTTACCAGATTTAAACTGATAATCTATAATCCGGAATCGCTGAAGTCCCAACGAGTCTGGATTAACGACTTTTGACTGTATAAAGTAGCACTTTTAAAATCCATGTTAGATTTCTTGAACAATGGCAAGACTATTCAATAATTTTGAAATATTTTACCATAAAATCTGCTGTATGGAGCATCGCAAGGTCATGGGAGGATGTGCCTCCAGATACTTTAAAAAATGCTTGGCCAGCTACCGTGTTTCATGATGAGGATGATGAAGATGATAGCCGCGAATTTGAAGGCTTTCAGATATCACAAACCATAGGTGAAATTTTCCAGTTAGTGGATTTTGTGAAGAAGCGATAATAGCTAAAGATGATAACATAACTTTTTCCATTGAGATGACAGTGCTCCAATCATCAATCAATTAATGGATTGTGAAATCTGTAGTATGATTCTAAATCCAGAAAATACCACTAAATAGAGAAGAAAGTGACAAAGAGGTTTTCGAAAACAAAAAAGTATCGATTGACAAGTTGGTCAGAATTCTCAACGTAGCAACTACAGGACTTGAACAGTGAAATTTTGTAACTGAACAAAAAATTAGTCTGTCTATAGAATTGAACAGAAAGTATATTAGCACAAAAAATTAAGCAACTTAAAAAATTAACACTGTTAAACATTCAAAGAAATGTTTTATTAAAATAAACAAATATTACATTTTTTAAAGTTTTGATACTCTTTAGATCATAAATCAAGATTTCATATGTTTTATGGTTTTACACACCATCCTACTGAATTTAAGCTGATGATCTAATTTTTGGAAAAATCCCAAATCTGGAATTCCCGAAGTCCCGACAAGTATGGATCTCGGACTTCATACTGTAGTACAGAAAATATAAAACACTTTAAAAATACATGAAAAACATTACATAAAGGAGGAGAAACATGTGGGTAGGGATTTGAAGTTGGTAAGATTCTGTCTTTAGATTCATACAAATTTTTTAGGGAAACATTTTTTATGGAAAAATATATTTTATGGAAAATATATTGTGGTTTTATGCAAAACTTTTTTTATATAACAGGGTGAGAATATATCATGGTGTCCATCTTGTATTTCCATGGTGATGGTTCAGTAGTATAACTAGAACTTTTGGGCTGTTATGCAAACAAGATTTCTGGCATTTTCCCCTACCCATGATTTACAATATTCCAAGAAAAAGTGAAACAAAAAGGGTGAGGGGGTCAACAATTCAAGAGTCAGTATCTTTGAATAAGGGTGGTTTCTCTAAGGGCTTTATTAATTATTAAGTAATATAAATACATACTTAAAGCACCAAGTTGGAATGCCGATAACTGTCCCCCCCCCCTTGAAAATTGTAAGTTCTGTATTTTTATGACAAAGAAAAAAAATGTGGGTTCTTGATCTGGGCCTGAGCTAAGATCTTAACCAAGCTTGGTTTTTTAGAGATCAATTTTTTATTAAACTTTCCTTTCACCTGGAAAAGAAAAGAAAGATGTACTGTAAAATATGGAATTAAGAGAAAACATGTAAAATATAGAATTAAAGAATTCTAAACTGACAGAATTTTTTTTTATAAAACTTTCAAGTTAGATATGAAATAAATTTTTTACTGTTTTTAACAAATTAAAAAACAGCTAATAAGTTAGACTAGTAGATAAACAGAATAATAATTAACTAAAAAGGAATTCAATTAATTAATTAGAAGTAGCTCATATGAATTTTTCAACAGTTTTCAAAATTCAGTTTCAGCTCTTCTTGCCCTAACTTTAAAACATTTATATTGGAAATTTCATAAGCAAAAATTTTTTTAATTGATAATTTTTTATAAATATGCTAAAAATGTTTTCCTCTTTTCCTTTTTTTATGTGTTGTCTCTATATTTTTTCATTTTTGTTAATTTAGAGAAAATTATAGCTGACTAATATGTATATAAAAATGGTATCCAGAGGTCATAATATTAAAAAAAAATTCCTGATTTATTAAAATTTTCATCTTGCTTTAATTTTTGCTACAAATGGACATCCATTTTCTCAACCATCTAACTTTAATGCGCAACAGTGAAAAGTCAGGGTTTGTACAGTCCTTAGGATTCCTTAAAAGTCCTTAAGTTTTTTTAAATCGAATTTTGGTCTTTAATAGTCCTTAATTTCGGCCAAAATCGTCAGAAGGTCCTTAATTTTAATAATCTGAAAATTCTGTCTTGTTTTTACAACTGCTG